CATCTGAAGTCCCTGCCTGGGCATGGCTGCACAGCTGGACAGCAGGTCCTTGGAGCTGTGACTGTGGGGATCATGGTGCTGCTGTGTGATAGCGGCTGATCTCCCCCTGCCTAGCAGGTTTTTGTTCACCTCACTTGTATCTGTGTCCTGCTGTTCCCAGGGTGCCAGAGTATCACTGCCCCGATCTTGCTGGGGAGGGATGCCGAGCCTTGGGCGTGTCGTGGAGGCCTCTTTGGAGAGCTGCAGGTGAGAGTGTGCCTCTCTCTGGGGGGCTGAAGGAACCACTGGGAAGCCAGTATCCCAACCCTGCTTTGGGTTGCTGCAAGCTTGGGAAGACAAGAGCTACCCTGGGCATCTGTGGTTCCTGGGGTTTAAGGAGCCTCAGAGAGACCTTGGAGCCAGGAAAACCTGATGGACTGTGTATCTTCCAGGCGCTGCTGCCTGTGGGGAACAGCTGTGACCTCTTCTACCACCCACCACCTCTCTTCCCATCCAGCCAGACGTACCTCCTGCGCCCGCTGCTGCCCTTGGACAAGGTGGGAGCCATGGCCTGCAGGGGTGTCCTGCCAGAGCTCACCTCTGCATGGCCTGTGCTGCACGTGTGCTGATGAGCTACAGGCTCGTCTCTGCTGACCCTCAGTGCAGGGTGGCACAGGTGGGGAGGGACCTCGGGTCCAGCTCTGCTCAGAGCCAGCTGGCTTGTGGCAGCTCCCTGGGGCCATGATCAGCAGTGTGTCAGACCCTGGGCTGGAGAAGAGGAGCTGTGGCCTTGGCAAAGCTGCCTCCCTGTGACAAGGGCCTAGGCAGAGCAGGAAAAGGAGCCCTGCCTACCAGTGAGCAGCAGGCACAGCCACAGTTTAACCAGCACTAGGTCAGGGTTGCCAGGTTGTGGGTGATCTCCAGAGCAGCCCCAGTGCTGATCTCTAGCAGTGGCTGTGAGCAGATGCCAGGAAATACCCAGAACAGGTCAAGTCTGGATGGTGACCTCCTGGAGCCTTCACTGGTCTGCAGCTCTGGGCACTGCCTGAGCCTGTTGGGGCTCATCTCCAAATGAGTCCATTCTTCAAATAGTCATCCAGTTTATGGGCTGATTCCCTGCTGGAGAGCAGCAGCCACTGTCAGCCACGACCTTCTTGCTGCCAACCCCCTGCTCCGACATCCCAATAGCTCGATGGGATGGGGAGGGAAAGGGAGATTCTGGTTGTGGGGGGACACACAAGTTAAAGTGTCACCAAATTCAGCAGAGCTCCAGGTTCCCCATGTACCACAGCCTGCAGCGAGCACCCCACCCTCACTGTGCTCCTCTCCCAGCCCAAGGAAAGGCTAATGCCTCAAATCCAGCCAGCACGAACACGAGCGCAGCTCCCTGCTGAACACGGCACCCGGCCGTGTGCCGCTGTGGCGCTGCTGGGCAGCAGAGGAGGAGCTGCAAGCACGGGAGAGCAGATTGTAACCCCAGGCTGTTCTACCAGCAGTTCCCATCATGGGGACTTGTTTACAGTTGCCTGTTGTCAGGTTTCATCTGCTCAGGCTGAACCTTAACAACACGAATGTTTGTGTCCAGTGAAACTCTGAGAGGGAAATCCAGCTGAGCACATCAGTCTCTTCTGGGAATGGGGCACAACAGGGCACAGTCCTGCCCCAGTCGTTGTGTGATCAGGGCAGCCTCCCTCTCAGGATCAAGGCTTTTATCTGAATGTCCTTTTCACTGGGAGCAGCAGCAAACTCAACCATGACCAAGACAGGACATTTGGGCATGTCCTGCTGTGCACAGGCTCTTTGGAGACTTTGAGTTCCAGTGTTGTTTTTGGGGCCTTTCTGGCTGCTCTGAGTGTGCTCTGGCCTGGGGCCATCTCTGCAGTGGGTGCTCTCTGAACACCTGACCAGAATGGCAGTCTCTGGTCTGAAGGGTGGCTGTGCTGTGGCCCTGAGCCCGAGGCTAGCAGATGGCAGTGCCCTTGGGTGGCTCAAGCAGTACCCTGCCCTGTATCCCCTACCCTCGCCCGGAGGCCACAGCCCTGGTCATGGTCCCTCTCTGCAGCCCCTTTGGCAGCTGCTGGTGTGCCACGCTCTGGCCAGGCCTGTGTTGGGAGCAGCTGGCAGTGCGGCAGGGCAGGCACAGCCAGGACTGAGGTGGGTCTCGGTCTTCCAGGGAGAGCTTTACCGTATGTGCCGGGAGAGTTTGGACTGTGATCCCAAAGTGGCAGAGATCCTCATGGCCCACCCAGATCTCCTCGGTGACAGGTGAGATGTGGCCCCTCTGGGGCTCCCTCTGGCCAGGCTGTGCTGAGCCTGGCCACGTGCTAAGGGATGCAGGGCCAGGGGATGAGGCGATGGGCTCTCCTGGCATCCCTGCGGGGACCAGCTCTGCCCCTGGGCTGTCAGTGGCCTCACCCTGTGGGAGGGACAGGGAGGGACATCCCCATGCTGATGTCCAGCAGGGTCATGGCAGCCACAGTGGGGGCAGACCCACTGTCCAGCCTGGATGCAGGAGACTGTAGCGGATCCCCTTGGCTGAGGGCTTCTGCTGGGGATCTCGAAGGGGTTGTCAGTGGGCACTGGGTGCTGTCCTGATGGGGCAGGAAGGAGGAGGCTGCTCTGAAGTTGCTGTAGGGCAGTCTGGGCTCCAGGCACAGCTCAGCTGTGCTCCTACTCTGGCTGCCAGGCTGCTGGGCCCCTTCCTCAGCCTGAGCCCCGAGTACACCTTTGTGCTGGAGGACGAGGGTGGTCTGTGTGGCTACGCAGCTGGAGCACTCCATGCTGAAGGCTTCCTGCAGCAGCAAGACAGCAGCTGGCTGCCAGCCATACGGCACAAGTACCCCCCAGACCTGGGCACGGGTGGCCCAGCTCTGGGACAGGTGAGGGGACACCTGGCGCAGAGGGGAGTGGGGATGGGGGCGGTGGAGGGGGTTCTCTCACTTGTGCTTGTCTCCCACAGGATGCCCTGGAGGAAGCAGTGCTCTTCTTCCACGCAGAGCCACGGGCTGTGCCCCTGCCTGTGCTGCGGCGCTTCCCCTCCCTTGTGCAGCTGGGCACGGCCCCCCGTGTGCTGGACGTGGGGGCCAGCCGCAGCCTGGCCCTCTGCCTGCTGAGTGCACTCAGGGCCAACGGTGAGCGTGACCTCCCCGTGCTGGGGGGACTGGGACCCCCTTGTTCCAGCACAACCCCTTCCCAACTACTCCCTTGCCCACCACAGGGTTAGGAGCTGGCCCCACCTGCACTCCACCTCTCTCAGCACAGGGCTCCCCATCTCCACTCTGGTGCAGTCTGGCCCCAGCTCCCAGGCACCGTCCCCTCCCCTTGCACTGGGGGACATGTGGATCTGTGTCTCAGGGCATCGCAGGGGCAGCCAGTGCCAAAGAGGCAGTGGAAAGGCCGACCTCCTTGTGGAGGGGGTCCCAGAGCTGGGGTCCCAGTGCCCTGACCTCTCTCCTCCCTTCCAGGGTCGCGAGGAGTGTTTTGCCAGGTCCGTGATGCTGATGGGCAGCAGCTGAGCTTCTACAGCAAGCTGGGCTTTGTCGCCCTGCCGGTGGCCTGGGGCAGTTCTCCCGGCACTCAGCTCCTGGGACGTCTCCTCTGATGGGGGCAAGGGGAGACAGTGCCCCGGGACAGGCTGATCCCCCAGGACAGGCTGACCCCCTGTCCCACACAGCGTTGGCCTGAGGGAGCGGGAGCAGAGGGACACCGTGAGCAGGTCAGGTACATGAGAGAAGAGACACGGCATGGGGGTGAGCAGGATGCCACTGGGATGTGTGCAGGGCTTCGAGGGTCCTTCAGTAGCAGAGAGCTATTTCTACCATCTCAGGAGATTTGAGCACCAGGGCCCCTCTGTTCCACCCTGACTGTTCCTGCCTGCTGGGCATCCTCTGCCTTTGCTGGGGAGCCAGGCTGTCTGCAGCCCCCCAGGCCTGTTGGAGCCCATGGGCAGTGTTTGGGGTGGTGGTCCTGGAGCACAGCACGGTGCCTTAGTACTACAGGAGTGTCCCTGTCACATAGGCTGGGCTGCCTGGCTCTCTCCATCCCCTGGGTGACCCAAGGATGGGCAACTGGTGCTGGGGCTGGCTCTTGGCCCCAAGGACCTGCTTGTCTGTATGGACCAATCTGGTGTGGGACACAGTGAGGCAGCCTCCATCTTTGTGCCTGGGGGCTGAGAGGATCGCTGTTCTTGGCAATAAAGTGTTTGCTGGGCTCCCACCATGGCTTGCCTCGGGGAAAAATGTTGGGGTGCCAGCAGATCCTTTTCGCATCCTCATGCCCTCTCTCCACCTTACACTGGCCGTTGTTAATTACAGTCGGTCCTCAAACAAAGCAGCTCCCCATAGAACCGCAGCCCCAACCGGGCACCAGCTCCACTCCCCGGGAAGGAGCTCCGGCCGCTGGCAGTGTGCACTTGCAGCCCCAGCCCTGTGCCGTGCGGCTTTCCTGTGGGATGGGATGCCTTGGCCTGGGCTTCCCCTGTGGGTCTGGGGGGCCGCAGCCCGCCCCAGACAGGCAGGATGGCCAAGAGGGAGCATCTGCCCAGCCATCCCACTGCAGCCTCTGGAAAAGGGCTGCCAGGGGCACACCATTGCTGGAGGTTTCCTTCCCTTGCCCTCCAGAGCCGGGTGACCCTGCCCCGGGGTGAGGAGGGGGCTGGGGTTGCCAAGAGTCCGGGGGGGGGACGCGGCTGGCAGCCCCCTCGCGTCCCCCGAGCGGCCGGTCAGCCCCCGAGGCTCCGTCCCGGGGGGCCGGGGCCGGCCCTGGAGCGGAGCCCAGCCGGGGCGGGGGCCGCGCTCGGACCGGCCCCATCCCGGGGCAGCGGATCGGGGGCGCGGGCCCCGTCCTGGCCGTACCGGCCGGGGGGCCGGGGCCGCTCGGCGCGGGCCGGGGCGGCGCGGGCGGCCCCGGACACGGGCACGGCGCGGGGCGGGCCGGGGCGGAGCGGGGCGGCAGGGACCGAAATTGCTCGGGGCGGCACGGTTCGGCAACGGTACGGCTCTGCTCGGCACGATACGGCTCGGTTCGGCACGGCTCAACACGGCTTGGCTCGGCGCGGCTCCGTTCGGCACGGCACGGCTCGGTACGGCTCGGCTCGACGGGGCTCGGTTCGGCTCGGTACGGCTCGGCCCGGGCCGCCGGCACTCGGCCGGACGCTGTCGCTCGGCGCTGCCGCGCATCCCGCAGGGACCAGAGGTCCCGCCCGGCGCCGGCGGGGAGCGGGACTGCCCCGGGAGCGGGACTGCCCCGGGAGCGGGACTGCCCCGGGAGTCCCGGGGGCTGCGCCGCGCGGGGCCCGGGCGCCTCGGGGGTGTCCCGGGGGGGGCCGGTCTCACCGCTCCACAGCCCCGGTGGTTAGAGCGTGTCCGTGCCGTCCTCGTGGGCGCTGCGTGTGCCGCGGTGCGGGGCCGTGCCGTGGGCCGTGCCCGTGCCCCGTGGGCAGAGTGACTGGGTGCGGGCAGCGCGTGTGTCCTGCGGTAAGGGCCGCCCGGCAGATCCGCGGGTTTGTGCGTGCCGCCTCGGGGCTGTACCACACCCCAACTGTGCTGTATGTGGGCTGCGGGAGGCTCGTGGGCCGAGCCGCCAGTTACAAGGGTCGGTGGAGACTCGGGAGTTCCATGAAGACCGAACTTGCTGTAGCTGTTGGAAGAGAGGCTGGATGGATGGAGGGATGTGAGGCAGGAGGGCTGGCGTGGCTGGAGAGGTGATTCTCTCCTTGCTGCTGGCCTTGTGTCTTCTCAGCTGCTCTCAAAGGAGCCCGCGGCTGAGCCAACCCCCTGCCTCCAGCCCCTCCAGGCAAGCTGGCTCCCTGCTTCGGGGTGCCTGGGACCCCGGACCCGCCACCCACACCACAGTCCTCAGAATCGCTGCCACCCCCTCAGTCTGTCGGGGCTGTCCAGACTTTGTGGCTGACGACTGATGTCTGCAAATTCCTCTGGGATCTTTCCTTCCTGTCTGTAGCTGGTCCCTCCCAGGGCTGCCCATCTGGAGCCCGGGGAAGCTCAGAGCAGAGTGGGCAGAGCTGAGGGCCGTGCCATGTCCTGGGGAGGCTGGGTGGGGGTAGGAGCTGCAAGGAGCTGCTGTGACCTGCCCTGGCTTACAGGGTTTCAGCAGGATACTGGGACATCAGGTAGCCCAAAGGGGCTGGACCTGGAGTTGACAAGGGAAGGGAAGTGCAGCTCCAGCCCCACACAGTGCTCTGCCCTTGCTGACACCCCGAGAGCCAGAGTGTCCTTTCCTCAGCAGGGTCCCTGTCCCTGCCTGGGATGGAGGCACACAGTGGGTGGTGGGGCAGAAACCCTGCTTTCGGGGCAGCGAGGGGCAGTGAGCTCCCAGCCAGCGGGAGGTGATGCCAAGCCTGCCAGGGTGGCCAGGTTTCCGTGGTGACCCTGGGCTGCTCCCCGGTGCTTCTGAGACCAGTTTGTTTGTGGCATCCTGGTCCCCTCCAGACTTTGGCAGTGCTGACCCTGGAGCTTCGATCCATGGGGGCCCTGCAGGCAGGGAGCCAGCAGGTCCCCTCCTGAGCAGGGTGGGAGTGTTGAGTCTCCCCTGCTTCATGCATCCCAGGACTGCTGGGAAGCAGGAAGAGCGAAGCAGGCTCATCCAGGCAGCCGGATTGCGAAAGGCCCAGCTCTGGTCTGTGCGTGCCGGGGCCTTGGGGACAAGGGGAGGGATGGAGCGCTGAAGCCATGGGACTCACCAGACCTTCTCCTGCCCTGAGTGCTGGGGACGTGACCTCATGCTCTGAGGGATGTCCTGGCATGGGCCTCAACAGAGTGTGACTCTATCACCCCTTAACGTTCCCAAGGAAGGATAAACAGAGCAAGCTTCCTCTCCCTTGTGTTGGCGGGTTTCCCAGGTCCTCGGTCACTTGTGCTGCTCCTCTCTGAGTCCTCCCAGTTGTCAGTGCTTGGGATGTTCCATGTCGCCGTGCATGCGTCCAAGGCTGCTGCTGAGTGAGCACATTCCTGTCGGGCCACGATGGCCTGGCCTTCCCCTACTGCTGTGGCTTGGGATGTCATCCCCGTGCCACAGGGATGCCCGGTGCTGATCAAATATGCGGACTCGCCTGGGGACCTGCTTCACCAGGAGCTGCCCCTTCCCAAGATCCATTCACTGGGGTTTTGCTGGGGCAGACTAATGTCCCTCTGCATGCCTGGTGAGTGCCAAATGACAAACCCGATTTGAACAGTCCTCAGGAACTTGCAGCCCCCCCTGGGCCCTGGGCACCCCCGCTTGGCACCGCTCACCCTGCCAGCCCCTGTGCAGGACACCTGGGGGAGCACAGTGATGGTGGGGGCAGTGCCTGGCCATGAGGGCTGCAGGCCCTATCAGGGTGACTCTGTCTGGGGGGGCATGGGAACCACTGTCACTCACTGGGTCAGGCAGAGCCAGTAGGCTGGCATGGGAGCAGGTAGAGCAGTGCCGTGGCTCCTGCTGCCATGTGGGACTGCCCTCTGCCCCGAAGGGTCCACGCGCCCGTGCCAGCCTCAGCAGCTGAGGGCTGAGGCTGGGGGTGAAGGGAACCTCAGGGTTTTGGCTCTGCAGGGCTCTTGGACACCCCACCACTAGTGCCAGCTGTGCCCTGGGCTGGGATGTGACTCGAGCCCCGTGCACACCCAGCTGGGACATTCCTGAGGTTTCCTGGGCAGTGGCAAGGACCTGGGCTGCTTCCAGGCTCCCACGCCCTGTGCTCACTCCAGCCAGCCCATCCTCCCGAGCCCTTTCCCCTTGCAGTGGAGTGCTGCTGTGCATCTGTGCCCGGGGCAGCATGTTGAGCATGGCACAGCACAAGCCCTGGTCCAAGAAGAGACTGTCCCTGGCTGGAGTGGGCAGCTGGCAGCAGGATGGTCGGGGTGCTGGGGTGGGCTCCCCATCCAGAGCAGCATGCAGGACCGGAGCAAAGCCTGCCAGCGGAGCAAGCAGCCGGGCAGTGTCACACAGCTGGAGAGGAGCAAACGCACAGCTTATGCCTCTGAAAATGGAAAAAGTGATGTGGACAAAGAGAGCCCTGTTAGCCTGACTGCCTGGGACACGGACATGGAGCGTGTTCAGAGAGGGAGGTGGTACAGAAACAGGGAAGAAGCTGTGCTGTGCTGCAGGGAGCTCACCCTGTCAGCCCAGCAGCTGTCCTGGGCCGGGCACGGGAAGGGCTTTGGCCTGCACAGACCTGAGCAGGGCATGTCACTGGGAAACTCCGAGGTGAGTGGCAGAGCTGCGGTGCCAGGGCAGAGGAGGTGCAGTGGGGACAAGGGGCACCGGAGCCTGAGCAGAGTTGAACTGGGACCTGGGAGAAGAGATTACAGTGTAACCCTGGAGGTTACACTGCTGAGTCTCAGTGGGGACTCAGTGCTTTGCCCAAGCACTTTCTCAGGTGCCACATTCTGGTCTGTGGTCCTAGGTGATTTGCTCCTCAATGCACAGACTTAAATTTTCCTTGTAGCCAAGGGTATAGGCTGCACGATGCTGCTTTACCGGGCTGTCCGGGTCTGTCCCTGTCCCCACCCCTGCTCCCCGCACCGTTTTTGTCTCTGCAGTCTGTACGAGGAGGGGACTTTTTTCCTCCTCCTGGCACAGTTTTGCTTTGGAAAACATGTGATCCTCACCAGAAAGCCCACAGAATGGTGACTGACTTCCCCATGTAACCACATTTTAGTTCCAGCAGGTGACCAGTTTTAATCCACTTAGCAGAAGGTGCACTGATTTTGTTGAGTGCTAATTATTCATTAAAAGGTGGTACAAGATGAATCGAATGCCTTCCAGTCTCAGCCTGTTGTATCAACACAGTTACTCCAATTAACTGAACCTGTGATCTCATAAAAGGCCATTCCCACTTCCTGACATGGGCTATTTCTGCCGGACTGAGGAGATTGGCATTAATTGTGCTGCTGTCCTTTAGGGTTGTACTGACCCCATTGTGAAACAGCCCAGTGACTGCCCACAGCTGCAGCAGAGCATCCTGCTCACTCAGGGCAAGAGCCGGGGAAGCTCCAGTTCTTGTGTGCTTGCAGCTTTCCCCATGGCACTAGGTGTGTGACAGTTGGCACTGAGGGGGCCCAGATCTGTGTGACAGGATAGCTCTGAGGGTTTATAATGCTTCCTTTGGGCAGGGCAATGTCGCCTTGGTGACTGATGGGCAGAATAAGAAGTTTTTTTGCTTCTGTGAGTGGTAAACTGCTGCTTTCCAGGTGATGTGGAGATGAGGATGGAGCGTTCCCGTTCCCATACCCAGAAACCCCCTTTCCTAAGCTGTTGGAAGGGCTGGGGTGGCTCTTTGCACCCGCCCTCCCTTCCTCCTGCCAGGACAGGCTGGGTAAAAGGTTCAGCAGAGCGTTTCCCTGCTGCCTTCCCACAAACGCTTCCTGCTGGGCTCTGCTGTTCTCGTGGTGCCAGAGCAGGCAGCAGAGGTACTGGTAGCCCAGAGCTGGCTCCCACCAACCCCAGGGGCCCGGGTGCCTGGGCCAGTGCATGCTCCTGCCTGTGCCATGTCCCCACCAGCTCTGTGGTGTCCCCTGTGCCCCAGCTCCAATAGAGGAGAGAGCCAGATCTGTGCTGATGTGATTGCACCAAGGGGGCTGCTGTGCTTCATAGAATCATAGAGTCTATATGGCTGGAAAAGACCTCCAAGATCATCAAGTCCAACCTTTTACCTTTTCAACTAAACTAAGCACTAAGTGCTTAGTCATTCCCACCACTGTATCTGGGGTAGAACTGGACCAGTGGTGCCGGTCCTCGTTATCTCTCCCTGAGCATCTCTGCAGACACCTGGTGCTCATCCCGAGGGACCTTCTGCTCCAGGTGGCACCTCTGATGTGGTGTGTGCCCAAAGGAGCAGGCAGGCAGCAGAGCTGGGCCCTGTGGGGGCTTCTGTTGGTGCAATGGGCATGGAAAAGGGGCTGGCACTGGGTACCATCCTGGTTCATCCCTGCCTTGGCCCAGGAAGCATTCCCAGAGGCTGGAGTGGGGACCAGGCGCCCATCATCTGGAAAAGTGAACAGAGCAGGAACAGGGCTGATTCCTCTCTAGAAACCCTGCCCTGGAGGTTGGTGGGGTGGTGGGGCAACCGTGCCAGCCTCCAGCCCTGCGTGGGTGGCCAGGCTGATGGTGAGGACCTGTAGAGGCTGTGCTGTCTGGGAGGACACCCTGACTCCCTCACTCTGAGGATCCCTCCCCAGACTGGCACGGGGACAGTGAGAGGAGAACACGGGATGAAGCCTTGCAGGGAAGCATGCAGGCACCATAGGGTGGATCTGCGGGAAGGGTCCCTGTGGCACAGCCCCAAATGGGAGCATTGTCAGGATTTGAATTTGTTCTCCTTCCTCTGTGATGCTGCAGATAAGCTAGACCTAAAAAGTTAGTGCTTTTTAATATTGTCTAATGACAAACGCGGTGTGTGTGAGTGTGGCGGGCAGGATCTGTGCTTGGGGGGATGTGGGGCACAAAGACGTCCTGCTGGGGGTCTGTCCTGGGGGTGATTTGGGGTGTGTGCTTTCCCCCTGTGGAAGGGACTGGCTGGAAGGGTGGCATGGGACTGCAGTGGTGGGAGGAGGGTGGTGGCTGTGCTGGTGGTCTTGGGTGAGCATTGGCCTGAGCTTGCTGACAGCTCCTGTGCAGAAATGCTGCTCCTGGGCTATGGGATCCCTGGGAATGCTGCACCAGGAAGGGAGGGTAGCTCACAGAGAAGGGTTTTCACTATTGTTTGCGATGGGACTGGTGCAGGAATACCACATCTCCCTCAGGTATTCAGGGAGCCACAGATGTTGTTGGAGTAATGGAGAAAGGCAGCACAGGAATGTGAATGCTTTGGCTGCCTTGCTCCTCACAGAGGGCAAGAGCATGGACTGGAATCCTCTGGGCCAGCAGCCATTCACTTCTCTTGCTGGATCGAGCTCCTGCTCGGTCCAGCTGAACTTTCCCTGTGCCCTGGGACTGCTCCAGCTCCCTCAGCCCTGGCAGCTGATCCCCCTCCTTCCAGCCACCCCTCTGAGGGTGACACACATCTCCGTGCCTGTCTGTCCTCGCTGCCCTTCGGTGCAGTGGATGTGACCAGGCAGCGCGGTGGGGGCTCAGTAGCAGCTGTTGGCAGAGGGGGCCGTGGAGTGGGGGGCACTGGGCAGAGCCCCTGACAGCCCCAGGGGTGCAGGACCGGTGCAGGAGCTGTGTGTGGGGGCACGGGGCTGGCTCTGGAGGGACAAGGCACATGGTGTGCTGGTGCTGGGCAGGGGGTTTAGCCAGCAAAGGGCCGATGGGGGGGCTGGTGTTCCAGCACAGCGTGCACGTGCCCTGACCCTCTCTGCCCCTGCAGAGCCACGCTGCCATGGGAGGCTGCGGCACGTGGGCATGGCGGGAGCTGCTGGTGCTGCTGGGCAGCGTGTGGCTGGGGGTGGGCAGCTCCCAGCCCACCCCCCTGGGCCCCACGCACACTCCTGGGCCCCAGCTGAAGTTTCGTCTGGCCGGTTACCCACGCAAGCACAACGAGGGCCGTGTCGAGGTTTTTTACAATGACGAGTGGGGCACCATCTGCGACGACGACTTCACGCTGGGCAACGCGCACGTGCTGTGCCGGCACCTCGGCTTCGTGGCTGCCACCGGCTGGGCCCACAGCGCCAAGTATGGCAAAGGCGTTGGTAAGAGCGGGGTGGTGGGCACAGCCCCCGGGCACAGCCCCCTGCACTGCCTGGTCCGAGGGGTGAGCCCCAGCAGGTCTGCATGTGCTGCGTGGGGAGGGTGGGGTGGGCAGGGCCCGTGTTTGCCGAGTGCCCAGCAGTGCATGTGTGCACGTGTGTGCGTGTGTGCACGTGTGTGTGCACATGTGTGTGTGCACGTGTGTGTGTGTGCACGTGTGTGTGTGCATGTGTGTGTGCACGTTGTGTGTGCATGTGTGTGTGTGTGCACATGTGTGTGTGCACGTTGTGTGTGCACATGTGTGTGTGCACGTGTGTGTGTGCACGTGTGTGTGTGCACGTGTGTGTGCACGTGTGTGTGCATGTTGTGTGTGCACGTTGTGTGTGTGCATGTGTGTCTGCACATGTGTGTGTGCGCATGTGTGCGTGTGCATGTGTGTGTGCATGTTGTGTGTGCACGTGTGTGTGTGTGCACTTGTGTGTGTGTGCATGTGTGTGTGCACGTTGTGTGTGTGCACGTGTGTGTGTGCACATGTATGTGTGCATGTGTGTGTGCACGTTGTGTGTGCACGTGTGTGTGTGTGCACTTGTGTGTGTGTGCATGTGTGTGTGCACGTTGTGTGTGTGCACGTGTGTGTGTGTGCACTTGTGTGTGTGTGCATGTGTGTGTGCACATTGTGTGTGCACATGTGTGTGTGTGCACGTGTGTGTGCATGTGTGTGTGCATGTGTGTGTGCGCATGTGTGTGTGTGTGTGTGTGTGTGTCTGTATGCACATGCAAAGTGGACTGGGAACCTCTGAATGTTTGAATGTGAGCTGCTGTGCAGGTGTGAGGGGCTGTTGCAGGGCTATACATGGCTTAGGGGGGCCAGTATGGTGGGCTCAGGTTGGTGTAGGCAGAGGTGTAGAGATGTAGTATGTGCAGGGCTGTTCAGAGCCCAGGACATGGGGCTTTATGCATGTTATGTGGGGCTCTATGACTGTCAGAGCAGCCCCTTGGGGAGCTGGAGACTCCCCATTTGCAGATCTCCCACCCAGGGCTTTAGTCTTGGCATTTTGCTGGCCTCGCCTTTGTGCTGAGGGAGCCCCAGTCCAGCTGTGCACCTCCGTGGTCCCTGGCTGTGCTCCTTGGGCACCTTCTCTGCTCTCTCACCCCTGGCCCGTGTCTGGCAGGGCGGATCTGGCTGGACAACGTGAACTGTGCTGGAGGAGAGAAGAGCATCGGGGACTGCAAACACCGCGGCTGGGGCAACAGCGACTGCAGCCATGAGGAAGACGCGGGTGTCATCTGCAAGGACGAGCGCATCCCAGGCTTCAAGGACTCCAATGTCATTGAGGTGAGGAAGCTGATAGCCAGAGTGGGTAGCACCACGCTCCCACAGAGCATCCTGAATGGGTGCCTGGGTGTGGGGTGCTCTGGGCACTCTCCCTCATGGCGCAGGATCCCAAGGTGACAGGAGGCTTTCCTGGTTGTGCTCCCTGGAGGTGCACCTGGGGACCCAGGGTGATGAGGGGCATGGGCTACACAGGGTCAGGTCCTTGGCCACCCAGGGCCACTAGATGTGGCCGGCAGGGATGCAGGACCTGGCCATCCCTGTGCTTCACCCGTGACTGCATCCTCAGAGCATCCCTGGGAGTGGGCTGGCAGGAGCTGGGGCAGCGGGATGCAGTGTGAGCCGAGGCTGACCTGAGCCCTGCAGACAGAGCAGAGCCACGTGGAGGAGGTCCGCCTGCGGCCGGTGGTGTCGGGGGCCCGGCGGCAGCTGCCGGTGACAGAGGGCATCGTGGAGGTGCGCTACAAGGACAGCTGGGCACAGATCTGTGACGAGGGCTGGGACAGCCACAACAGCCGCGTCATCTGCGGCATGATGGGTTTCCCGGCTGAGAAGAAGGTCAACAGGAACTTCTACAAGTGAGTGAGGCCAGCAGGGAGCCTATGGAGATGGGATGTTGGAGAATAGCCAGGGGCATGGGGCTGGGGCACAGCTGGGGATGGTGCCAGGGACATGGGGCAGTGCTGGGGGGACAGTGGGGGCTGTGCTTTTGGGTATTGTGGCTCCCCAGAATCCCTCCCATTCCTGCTGCTCTCCAGTCCGAGCGCCAGCTGGCCATATGGGCACTCGCTAACTGAGCCAGGAGTCCGTGGCAAGGCTGGGGGGCTGTGGCTGCCCACCTGCCTCATGCCCTACTTCAGAGGCCACTCCAAGAGAGCAGCTTTTGCTCCCTGGCAGTGGTGCAATATCATTTTCCTCTGATGCAGAGTGTGGGGGTTCCCATCCCGAGGGGAGCTTTGCAGCCAAGGCAGGCTGGGATACTCCAGCAGCACTGTGGCCTGGGTGAGGGGCAGGGACACGCTGTCACAGCGGTGCCCAGCATGGTGCCTGGTGCTGGGTGTGCCCTGACCAGGCAGCTCTAGTGTTGCTCTGCAGGCAGCTGAAGCGAGCAGCCAGGAGGAAGGGCCGGAGCCCGAGGCCAGGCAGCAGGTAAGGGGCTGGGGTGCCCCATCTGCTGAGCTGTGGTGGAGCTGGGCTGCCAGGCCCCACCGGTCTCTGCCGTCAGAATGGATCCTGGCACAAACAGATCTGGGTGGAGCAGACTGAGGGCCTGGGCTGTGCTGGCCCAGTAAGACAAATCCCACCCTGGGTTACCTGCCTGTGTGTGCCGGGCTCCCCAGTTCCCCACGAGAGACGATCTCTCTCCCAGGCTGGCCATGCCTCAAGTAGAACAGTTCCCATGCTGCACACCAGGCAGGAGTCCTGGCACAGAGTGAGCAGGATGCCCTGGGAGTGGTGGAGAGGGCTGCAGCATCCTGTGCTGCAGCCCTGTGAGGAGCAGGAGGCCTCGGAGCAGAGCTGTCTCTCCTGGTGGATGGGGAGGGAGGGCTGTGGAAATGGGCTGCTCTCTGCAGAAAGCAGCAGTGGGGAAGCTGGAAAGGCTGCACACCCCTCCATTCCCTGGGGGGTGGGCTGGCAGGGGCACCAGAGCCCTTGCTCAGCAGTGCTGGGCACCAGCGGGATGGGCACAGCGTGGCAGGGCCTGCCCCGAGTGCCGCATCTGCTCAGGGTCTCTTGCATCCTCTGCCTATTCGATCTTGCTGGCTTTCTGCCAGACCCAGGGAATGGTCTGGCTGCCTTTTCCCTCCATCCCTGAATCCTGCTGCTGGGTTTGGTGGTGGGTGCAGTGAGATGGAGCCCATTCTCTCGGGGCTGTGGAATGGCACCTCTCTTGCCTGAGCCCACTGCCGCGTGGAGATGTTGCACTGCCCCCAACGCATGGCCTTGCTCCGGTCCCACCACCTTCCCTGGTGCCCTACAGCCATTGCATGCTCTTCATTGTGACCCTTCCCATGCCCTTCCATGGAGCAGGGCTGGCTATGGGTCAGCCCAGAACCTTATCCAGCTGAAATCTTTCTTTTGAAATCTTCCAAGGATGGAGATCCTGCAGCCCTGTGGCCTCTGCTCCAATGCAATACAGCCCTCACGGGGAAAAGGTTTTCCTTACCCCGAGCCTGAACCTTACATTTCCAGTCACACCTGTTTTCTCTTGTGCTCTTCCCTCTGCACTGGAAGAGCCAAGCAGCCCCTCACAGGTGGGGGTCGGCTGCTGCAGTGCCCCTGACCCACGACAACCCCGACTGGAGCAGCCCGTGCCCCCCTCCCCCTGCCACCCCGCTGTCCTGCTGCTCCCCACGGTCCTCGTGCTGTGTACGTAATGTCTTCTTGTCCTGGGGACCCAGAACCAGGTGCAGGATCCAGATGTGGCTTCCTGAATGTGAATGGGCTGATGTCCTCCAGCCATCTGAATCCCAATTCCTGGCAGGCCCGTGCTGTGTCCTGGGGCTCGCTGGGCTGTGCAGGCTGACACCAACCTGCTGCTGGGCTGTGGGCCAGTGGCCAGGCTTGATTTTGCCTGGTCCCTGAGGGTGTCAGTCCCCTGCCCTGCTTTGGGCCACTTTGCTCTTCATTCCTTGTGGGCTGTGGGGTTTTGGCTCTGTTGTCTGAGGGAAGCAAAGTATTTGAGGATGTTGGGACCACATCTACACTGTGTGTGCGCTCGGCCCTGGGCAGCCTCCTCTTCCCAGAGGAAAGCTTGGCCACAGCTTGGCCTGTGCCTGGACCACTCCCTCCGCTGGCAGCAGGTTCTTGCCAGGCTGCAGCCCCTGTGGCCCTGGGCTGAGCACTCACCACCTGTGCCACTTGCTTGCTGCTTGCCAGGTATCCTGCTCCCTGGGGGCACGGTGCAGTGACGGGTGTCTGGGTGATGACACAGAGACACCTCACTCACACCCAACAGATCAAATCGTGGCTGCTGATGTTTGATCTTTTGCTGTGTGACAAGGCAGCGTGGGATGTGGCTGCATCCAGCTCAGTTTCCCTGTGGAATGTGTGCAGGAAACTGCATCATTGCTGCAGAGGGCAGCTGTACCACACTGCTGGCAGCACATGATGCTGTTGCACCCATGTGTGACATGAAGGGGATGCACATGAGTCTCCCTGGGGGCCAAGGTGCCCAGTTCAGCCCCAGTGAAGCCAGGGCAGGCCGTGCTCCCTGTGTCACTGCTGCTGGTAGAGGTGACACCTTAGGCCTCGGGCTCTGTGATGGTTGTTTTCTGTTTTCCAGGCTGGCCTCCAAATCTCAGCCTAAACAAAAGCACAGGGAGGACGTAGGGCCCAAGAAGAGGTAAATGGCTCCAGTGGAGAGCCTGAGAGCCAAGAGCCCCATGCAGTCCCACCAGAGCCTGTGTGTCCCCATGCGTGTTCCCGTGCTGCTGGGGATGTGGGACAGGCAGTTGGTGAGGGGTGGGTGCCTGGCCAGCACTACATGTCACCCTGGAGACGGTAAAAGGGGCACAGGCAGCGCATGCAGCCACAGGCAGGGTGGCTGGTGACACTTCCACTGCCACTGGCCTCGCTGGCTGTGGCTCAGGGCTCCTCCCTCCTTGCAGGCTCTTCACGGAGCGGCAGCAGCTCAACTACCGCCTGCACTCAGTGTCATGCACGGGGACAGAGGTGCATCTCTCCATGTGCACCTTCGAGTTCTACCGAGGCAATGCCTCGGCTGCCTGCAGGGCCGGGATGCCCGCCGTCGTCAGCTGCCTGCCCGGGCCCCTCTTCGCTGCTGGGAATGCCCACAAGAAGAAACAGCGCCAGCAGCAGCAGGGCCAGGTGAGCCCTGTGGAGGGGGGGAACAAGTCCTGTGGTGGCCCAGAGCCAGACGCTGCTCCATGGCTGGGCTCTGTCCCAGGCTGCACTCCAGACTGGGTGTGTGGGTCCCTGGGTACCTGGCTCCAGAGCACGAGGTGGGGCTGGTGTCCTGTCCCTGCTCATCCCAGGAGTCCTGGCCAGCCCTGTGCTGTGCCATGCTGTGCTGTGCCATGCTGTGCTGTGCCATGCCGTGCAATCAGCACCACGCCATTCGTGCAGTGCCACGCTGGCTGCGCTGTGCCCCGCCGTGCCATCGGCACCACACCGTTCGCACTGTCCCACACCACCCTGTCCCTGCTCCCCACAGCCCCGGATCCGGCTGAAGGGCGGCGCGAGGGTCGGCGAGGGCCGTGTCGAGGTGCTCAAGAGCAGCGAGTGGGGCACGATCTGTGACGACCGCTGGAACCTGCTGTCGGCCAGCGTGGTGTGCCGGGAGCTGGGCTTTGGCAGCGCCAAGGAGGCCCTCACCGGTGCACGCATGGGCCAAGGTGAGGATGCCGGGCCGGAGGGGCCAGGCATCCCCTCCTGGGGCTGCAGATGAGGCACTTGTCTGGGCTCTGCTGGGCTGGGGGGAGCCACGGCTGGGCTTGTCCCGTGGGCACCGGGCTGCTGGATGCACGTGGAGCATCCTGAGGGGACCATGGCCCCTCAACTGCACTGCCCCAGGCAGGAGCTGTGGAGGTTTGAGTGCACCAACTCCCTCGGGCGTGCTGAGCGGCTGTGGGGACAGGGAGGCCCTGGCCATCCCTGTGTCATGGGGTCCTGAGTCCTGCTGACCCCTGGCAGGGACGGGACCCATCCACCTTAACGAGGTGCAGTGCCAGGGCACCGAGAAGTCTCTCTGGAGCTGCCCCTTCAGGAACATCACGCAGGAGGACTGCAAGCACACGGAGGATGCAGCTGTCCGCTGCAACATCCCGTACATGGGCTACGAGAACCTGGTGCGCACCACGGGGGGCTCTTGGCAGTGGGACCCCAGAGTGGGGAACTGAGGGAGGCCCATGGGATCCACTTTAGAGGGGCCCCTCGTCTCTCCTCCTCTGCACCCCACACATTTCTCTCTGCCCTGGGGGCTCAGGGATTTTGTGGGTGGGAGTCTCAGGCATCCCTATGAGGGGGAGTTAGAGGGGACGCTGCAGGGGACTTTGGGCACTGTGAGGAGTGATGTGGGGCAGCTGCTCCCTGCTGCTCTCCCTGCTACCAGCCTGTGCCCACTCCCCAGAAGAAACATCAGAAAAAAAATCGCTGTGGGCAACCAAGAGAGATTTTTTTACCTGTGATGAAATGAGCAAATGAAGCTGTCTGTTCTCATTTGCCCTGGCCCATCGTTTCATCCAGTTTGAGCTTTTAATGATTTTTAACTCTCTCATACCTGTCATTTCTGAAATGACACCATTTCAAAATGAACTGTTTTTCCTGCTCTGTTGAGACAATTCCCAAACTCACAACCAATTCCCTTTCCCCCAGTCTACCAGTCTCAGCAAGTTCCCTGCTGCCCAAAGCTGTGCATTGCTCTGCTCAGTTCCTGGTTGCCCCCTTCCCGTGTGCCTGAAGCCCCTGGCCCAGGGCCCGTCAGGCACCACAGCATAGCCCCGGCTGCGTCACTGCATCAGTCCTGGGAGCATCGCCCGTAATGGTGATGATGCTGCCACTGCCTCTCTCTGCAGATTCGGCTGAGCGGGGGCCGGAGCCGCTTCGAGGGGCGGGTCGAGGTGGCGGTGGGGGCTGGCGACAGGGACCAGCCCCGCTGGGGTCTGGTCTGCGGCGAAGGCTGGGGTACGCTGGAGGCGATGGTGGCCTGTCGCCAGCTGGGTCTGGGATTCGCTAACCACGGCTTACAAGTAGGTGCCGGCACCAGCTTGGCCAGGGCAGCCAGCAGCCACCACCACTGCTCACAGGGCTGGGGACAGGGACGGACAGGGCTGGGGATGGGCGGGAGGTGGCACGCACAGGGTGCCTGCTCACGGCCCCAGGCCTTCCCCGCAGATCCGCCTGGCCGGCGGGAGGACGATGTTCGAGGGCCGCGTGGAGGTGAAGCGAGGCAGTAAGTGGGGCACGGTCTGCAGCGATGGCTGGACCACAAAGGAGGCCATGGTGGCCTGTCGTCAGCTCGGCCTGGGCTACTCCCTGCATGCGGTGACGGTAGGTGCCAGCGGGGAGGCCCCCGGTGATGCCCTGGTGAGCACAGACACCGGCGCTTCCTGGACAGCTGTGGGGCTGTCTGGGGACAGAGGCACATGGCCACTCCATGCTGCAGGACAGGACCCTTGTGGGCAGCCTGGGGCATAGGTAGGGTTGTGCATGGTGGGGGTCTGGCTGCAGCCTGGGTGTGAGCGAATCAGGGCAACCGGGCCACCAGCCATGCCACCCACCCTGCCTGGCCCCTCCTCAGGAGACGTGGTACTGGGACGCCAGCAACGTGACAGAGATGGTCATGAGCGGGGTGAAGTGCGCCGGCCACGAGATGTCCCTGAGCCACTGCCAGCACCACGGCGCCAGCCTGAGCTGCAGGAACACGGGCACGCGCTTCGCCGCGGGCATCATCTGCTCCGAGAGTGAGCGGCCACGGGGGCTGCGGGCGGGGGGTGCTGCGGGCAATGGGGGCTGTGAGTGGTGGGGTCTGTGGGCACTGGGGTCTGTGGATGACAGTCCTGTGGGGCCAGGGGTGCAGCTAAAGAGGCTGCAGGCAGTGGGGTTTGCAGATGAAGGGGCTGCAGGGTCAGCCCGTGCCCGGCAGATGGGGCCGCATCCCCCCCGGCCAGCTCAACCCTGCCAGCACTGGGCACTGCCCTGTCCCCACTGAGCAGTGGGGCCTGTCCCAGAGCAGCTGCCTTTCCCCAGCTGCCTCCGACCTGCTGCTGCACGCGTCACTGGTGCAGGAGACGGCCTACATCGAGGACCGGCCGCTGCACATGCTGTACTGCGCCGCCGAGGAGAACTGCCTCTCCAGCTCGGCCCGCCTGGCCAACTGGCCCTATGGGCACCGCCGCCTGCTCCGCTTCTCCTCCCAGATCCACAACCACGGCCGTGCCGACTTCCGCCCCAAGGCTGGCCGGCACTCCTGGGTCTGGCACGAGTGCCACCGGTGCGTGTGTGGCACAGGCAGAGACAGGGCGTGGGCAGGGACAGCCTGGACGGGGCGGGGAGAGGGTGATGGTGCTGCTGCAATGGGCTGAGTGAGGGTGACACTGGACAAGGGTGATGCTGGGCAGGGGTGACACAGAGAGGGTGACACTGTGTGAGTGTGACACCGAGTGAGAGTGATGCCAGGTGAGGGTAACGCTAGTTGTGGCTGACACTGAGTGAGGTACCATTGCTGCCCCTTGTTTGGCTCAGGGCTGTCCCTGAAGGAGCAGTGTTGGGGCTGGAGGCCTCATAGTGGGCAGGGACAGGGCTGTAGGCTGGGCCCTGTGGCTGAGCCCTCTGCTTGCCTGGGCCATCTGGTTGGGGACAGTTGTGTCCGCTCCCAGGGCAGGACAGAGCTCTGCCCAAACTCACAGTGCTACGGCCTCGGAGCAGGGGCTGGGGGAACCTTCCTGGTGGTGAGGGGCCAGGCCCTCACCCAGGTGGTGTGGGGGGTTGACACAGGGCAGGGCAAGTCTCCTGTCTGCCCTGGGGGTCTCTGCCTCTGCCAGGCTCCAGTCAGCAGGCACTGGCTCGCTCCCGCAGGCACTACCACAGCATGGACATCTTCACCCACTACGACATCCTGACCCCCAACGGCACCAAGGTGGCTGAGGGACACAAGGCCAGCTTCTGCCTGGAGGACACCGAGTGCGAGGAAGGTGAGTGACACAGGGCCCTGCAGCACCGTTCCTGCCCGTGTCCCTCTCACAAGGCTGCTGGGGCCAGACTGGGTGGGCATCACAGGGGCTACAGAGGGGAGCTGCAGCAGGGATGAGCTGCATCTCCTCCTGCCTGCAGATGTGGCCAAGCGGTACGAGTGTGCCAACTTCGGGGAGCAGGGCATCACTGTGGGCTGCTGGGACCTGTACCGGCATGACATCGACTGCCAGTGGATCGACATCACTGACGTCAAGCCAGGCAACTACATCCTGCAGGTGCTGGACCTGAGCCGCCCCGGCCCCTCCTGCCACCCTACCGTGTGCACCCCCACCCTCTGCCCCTACGCCCCAGATCTCCACATGCCCCAGCAACCTGGCACTCTCTCCCACTGGCACTGGGTGGGGCTGGCAGGTGTGCTGCTGTAGGACAGTGCCTGTCCTCATGCCCACAGACATGCAGGGCTGCTCAGACAGCTTCTGCATGAGTTTTCCAGCTCTGAGCAGTGCTGCTCATGGGCACACAGTGCACAGGGACAGAGCCACCCCAGCACAGTGGCTCCTCGGAGCCCTCAGCACATCCAGGGCAGCTGGGGAGACACATCCTGTGGGGCTGGGGCACAGGGCTCATGTCCTGAGCACAGCTCCACTGAGGCTGGGAAGGTGTGGGACAGGGGGCTGTGCCCTCACTGTCAGTGCCCCACAGGTTGTGATCAACCCCAACTTCGAGGTGGCAGAAAGTGATTTCACCAACAACGCCATGAAATGCAACTGCAAGTACGACGGGCACCGCATCTGGGTGCACAGCTGCCACATCGGTAACGCCCAGGACACGGCCCAGGGGCGAGGGCACGCGGGCAGGGCTGCCCTGGGAGAAGGGCAGCAATGTGGCTGCAGGAGGCAGTGGGGATGGGGGGGGGCAGGGTCTGGGGCTCTGTGGGCAGCTCTTGTGGGAGGGGAGGTGCTGGCAGGACGGGTGACCTGTAGCACCAGAGCTGACAGCTCTTTCTCTCTGCCCGCAGGAGATGCACTCAGCGAGGAGGCCAACAAGCGGTTTGAGCAGTACCCAGGTCAGCTCAACAACCAGATTTCATAGGGCCCCGGACCCCAGAGAGATGGGCATCTCCCTCCCTCACCCTGTACGGGTGGGAGGAAGCCCCTGGGGGCTGGCAGGGAGGCCTCTTGCCCGGCACTGCTGCTGCTGGGGACTGCCCAGGACTTGCCACCGGCTGCCCTTCCCCACCTCGGGGGGCTGGTGCTGGAGGCACCGACACCTGCACCTCCCAGCCTGGGGCCGCCATCCCAACCACTGGCCAGAAGAGCGTGCCCACGTTCCCTGGGCTGCGGCACACGGGTACGGTCTGGGAGGTCCTGCACCCCCCACCGCTCCAGTCCTTCCCATTCTAGCAGTACCCCACCTCCCGCTCCTCCCTTTCAGCCCTGGTTCCTCTCACTCCACATCCCTCCCCACAGCTCAACCCCTGCGCTGGTCCCAGGACCCACCCTCCATGCAGGGACCCATTCCCCTGCCTGGCCTCAGGAGCCCCTGGTCCCCAGGGATGGTGAGGGTACCCCTGGCTCACAGCGCTGCCCAGGGGTGGCTCATACCCCATCTCTCAGTTGTAATTTTATTTTCTCTATAAAGTTGTTAGTTCTATTTCCCAGTGGCTGCTGGCACTTCTCTGTCCCGCGTGGCACAGCTCGTGCCGCAGGGCTGGTTGGCACACTCTGGCACAGAGCGTGGGAGCATCCCCTGGCCAGCCCCTGCACCCCCTTGGATGGTGGACTGAGGCAGTCCCCCTGTCCACACAGTGCTGGCCCCACAGCAGCCCCCTGCCTGCACCCCCCTCAACCAGGTTCCCCCGCTCTGGGAGAAGCCCAAGTGGGTGAGAGGAAGGGGCCAGAAGCAGTCCCACGGCACCGTGTCGGGGGAACTGAGGGGTCACTCTGGCACAGCTGGGGTGTGGTGAAGTGCTGGTTCCCCTGCACCAGATCCAGGGCAAATGTTATCAAGCAGAAATCCCACCCTGGGGCTGTGACCCATGAGAACTGGGGGCTCATGACAGAGGGGCTGCCTCGACTTGTGTGGGAGCAGAGCCTGGCAGGGCCAAGACATGCTGGGCAGGGACACTCGGACATGACACAAGGGCCAAGGGAGGCACAGCCCAGCTCTCACACCTCAGCCCGGTGCTCTGGTCGTGCCTGCAGCACACGAGTTGTGGGGACACCAGGCGCTGCCCCCGAGCCCGGGAGGAGGAGGAGGAGGAGGAGAGGGGCAGGCCTTGGCTGGGGCCCTGGAACGCGCTGCGGTCGGCGCAGCCGGAGCAGCTATGCCAGACACGCCGCGACTTCCCCCGCGCCGGCGGCGCTGGCCGGGGCAGCGAATTCCTCCGGCGAGGCCGGGGCTGCTGAAAGGACGCCTGTTCTGGGGGCAGGGGAGCGCCTGGGGGCAGGAGCGGAGCCCCCGAGGAACTGTGCTTCTTTCATCTCCCAGAGTAACAGCCGGGGCCCGGGAGCCCCGTCACGGGCAGGGCCTGGCCCGACACCCGCATTCCTGCCATCGCATTCCTGCCATCGCACCGGGCCGGACGTGGCCGTTCCGGGCTGCCCTCGCCGCAGAGCCGCTGCCTCCCGCCGCCGCGGGAGCAGAGGGGGGATCTTCCAGGAAGGCAAGGAACGGCTGGAGCTGCTCCTTCCCAGAGGGGCCGGCCAGGCAGCTGCACAGCACAGGGACGGGCCCAGCTGTCCCCAGGGGCCGGGTGTGTGTGGGAGCGGACACGGGGCTGGGTGGGACAGGCAGAGCCCCGGCCCAGCTTCCACCCTCGGCCCTCCCGAACATCAGGGCCAGGAGACGCTGCCTCGGCCACGGCAAAGTCCAGCATCAACACCCCTTTCACCATGGCCTGGAACGCTGCTGCATGGGAGGGGACGTGGGCACAGAGCTCCCAGCAGAAGCGATGTGACCGCTTGAACACGGCACAGCCACAGCAACACGGAGCAGCTCGGCTGCACTCCAGGGAAGAACTGCCAGTCCCAGAGCTGCTCCAGGGCTGCTCTCACCACAGAGGGGCTGCATGAAGCTTGACAGCTGCCAGGCTGGTACAGATGGAGGAGTGAGATCCCAGCTGCGTGGGTACTGAGCAGGTGGCAGGACACCTCCTCCTAACGCTGAGGAGGTCCCTGGAGGCACAGCCAGCTCCTCCCCACCTGGAAGGTCTTGTGTGAGGACTGACAGGAGGGGCAGGGTCCCACGTGGCCCGGCCTCCACCAGGCAACTGCTGCTGTTGTGAGAAGGTGATGTGGCATGGAGGCCCCTAGAAAAGTGCTTTATTTTGAGTACAGAGGGAAATTGCTGCACCACAAGTCACCCAAGCACCGGGCTGGGCCCCTCTCCTGGCTCCTTCCAGCCCTGCATGAGCTCTCGGGCCCTGCCTGGCTGGCACAGACACAGCTCAGTCCTGCTCTCAGCCCCGGGCCAGCACTGCCGGTCAGCACCGGGCGGTCCCCGCTATTCCGTCACCTCAGGCACGACGCTCACCAGCAGCGTGTCGTGGCCGCGGCGCACCAGCATGGCCAGGTTCTGCTGCGTCCGCACCGCCTCGTACACGTCCTCGGCACGCCGCGACACCGCCCCATTGATCTCCAGCACCACGTCGCCGGCCTTCAGCCCAGCCCTGCGGGGAGAACACGGATGGAGCACAAAGTGGGCAAAGCAGCCACTCAGCTTCATCAGCCCTGAAGGATGGAGGGGCAGGCACAGGAGCCTTGGGCCATGGCACCAGGTGTTCCTCCAGCCAAGCTGGTACCTCAGCCAATGGGGACATCCAGCCTGGGCAAGGGTGCCCAGCTGGTTTCTGCTGCAAGGCCCAAGCCCTACTGCTCTGGAGCAAAACACATGGAGCTAAACACATCCCCCCTGGCACAGCTGCTCCCTCACACATCCCGAGGCACAGGGCAGCACTTACTGATGGGCCGGGGAGCCGATGATCACCTTGTGGATCAGCACACCGTAGGACACGTCGGGGAAGCTGGGGTCACGCAGCTTCAGCTCCGCCAGGATGCTGCATAGTGGGAATTGGCGTCAGGGATGGAGCTGGAAGCAGAGCAGGGCTCCCACCCCACCCCAGCTGCACAGGCTCAGAGACCAGACACAGAACCTCCCCTCCTGTGTCCCTGCACACTGCTGAGTACAAGCACAGCTGCCAGCCCCAAACACCACCACCACTCTCAAAACAAGAGGACAAGAGTCCCAGTGGCGCCAGGGAGAGCTGGAAACTACTGGAGCAGCTGCCATCTGGATCAGAGTTGTGGTGATGCATGTTCCCACATCACATCGCTCTTCCCCGTGTCAGACCCACCCCTCCCCTGCTGCAGTTTCCCTTCTCTGCCCTGGTTGGGCAGGACACACAACACAAGCCATGCCCCTCTTCCTGCCAGACCTGTCACCAGAGCTCTACCCACATCTCTCCTCTGGAATCTAGAGACTAAATAATCCCAGTTCCTCCAACTTTCTCACAGATTTTAAGTTTTCTAAACCAAGCTTAAACTCTGCATCTCTCACAGCTCCACTTCGGACTCTCCCCAATATCTTCTCGTCCCTCCTGAACGTATCCAGAAGTGGATGCAGCACTCCAGCTGGATCTCCCCAGAGTGAAGAACAGCATTCTTCCCTCAAACACTGCAGCGGCTCTGATCCCTGCAGCCTCAGACACTCACAGTCTCTGCCCAGCTCTGCTCCCACCGGGTCCCTGCTCAGCCAGTCAGGGCTCCTCATATGGCAGCGGTCCGTGCAGAGCTCTACTGCACTGTCCCACAGCTCAGTGCAAGCTGCCATCCCTTCCTGACAGAACAACGGGGTCTGCGCTGTGCCCAACACAGAGCTTCCCCTTCCTGCGCCAGGGAAAGGTTCTGGCCTTTGCAATGTTCAGCGTGTTCAGACCAGTCATCCTTTTCCAAGGCAAGCAACCCCTTCTTGGAAGACCTTCCCCCTGGAGACAAAGAAGCCTCACAGTCAGGTGGTTTTCCTGGACTGGCTCGCTGGCTGTGCGGAAGCTGGACCCGCTTCCCAGGAGCCACGTCTGACGCATTTCACGCTGCTTCCTCACAGACCCTGTCCCGCAGCGTGCCCAGGGAAGCAGAAGGAGGCTGGGTTCCCACATTCCTTGGGTTCTGCCGAGTACCAGCACCATCTACTGGGCACCCACCGGGGCTGCCGGCAGTGCTGGCTGCGCCCCCACCACCCCCCTCAGGGGACACAGAGCACCTGCTCCTCCCTTTGAGGCCAGGCAGGAGCCCCAGAGGCTGCTCGTGGCACCCATGTGTGCAGGCAGCCCACAGACCCAACCAGCCCACGGGAGTCACGAGAGCTTTAGGAGGGCAGAGCATGGCCCTGAAAGGTGTTTGCCCAGCATGGCACAACACCACCCCCAGCAACGTGCTGAGCCCCGCAAGGCAGCTGAAGGTCACCTAAAGGTGGCTGCAAGAGCCAAGGAACGGGAGCAGCTGCTGTCCTTGAGAACTGCTCCCAGAGGTGAGAGTGTAGGTCCTGTTTGCTCCTGACATTGGTCCTTCGTGGACTCACAAAATTGTTTGGGTTAGAAAAGATCTTTAAGATCAAATCCAACTGCTCCCCCACAGAACTGCCAAGACCACCACTGACCATGTCCCCAAGTGTCACATCCACAGGGCTGTTAAATCCCTCCTGGGATGGGGTCTCCCCTCCTGCCCTGGGCAGCTGTGCCAAGGTTGGACAGCCCTTTCCAGAAAGGAATTTTCCCACTATCCAACCCAAACCTCCCCTGGCACAGCCTGAGGCTTTTTCCTCTCATCCTGTTGCTTGTTCCCCAGGAGCAGAGCCCGACCCCCACCTGGCTGCACCCCTCCTGTCAGGAAGTCGTAGAGAGCCAGAAGGTCCCCCAACAAGCCTCGTTAGACCAGTCTGGAGTCTAACCACAACATGAGCACAAAGAGATTCAGGACTGAAAGTTTAAGCTGTGGAGACAATCCTACCAAAACCAGACACCTTCAGTTAGTTGGGAAGATCCCATTACATGCCTGCCCCAACAGGACCAGTCTTTTGGCCCCCGAGCTCAGGACAGGCACCTGGGAGTGAGGGTCAGCATCATCACCCCGATGTACCGGCGCTTCGTCTCTGCATTGCCAAACCAAGAGCCTGCCGAAGGAAAGGACACGGAATGTCACGGCTGGAAAACAGAGACACACTCAGAACAGCGCTGGGCTGAGCCCCACAGCCCTCAGGGCAGGTAGTGTGTGCAGAGCCACTCCCAGTCCCCACAACAGCTCAATCCAGCTCTTGGTACCAGCGACAGTGTTACAGGTGTTGCACTTTGCACTGACTTTGCTTCCCCAGTTTGTCATTTTTTTGACTGAGAATGTCCCTCCCTGGCATCACAGGAGAACCAGACAGAAGTCTGCCTTAAATAATTCTCACACACAGAGGCATAGAAAGAGGCAGCATTCCACATGGCCAAATGAAGGACTTGTCCTCTACACTATCACTGAATCCTACACCTGGACTTCCACCACTGCACACCAGATGCAGGTTACTTAGGACACCTGACCTGCAGCAGAGGCAGGCAGCTGTGGGCAGGGCAGCAGCAGCAGCACAGCCTTCCAGTGGCACAGG